GCCGAGGCCCTCCCCGCCGCCCCGAGCCCCCCGCCGCTCCCGGGCCCCCGCTTCTCGTTTTATCCTCCGCCGGGCATTAGCGGTGTCTCTCACGGAGAAAAACTTGCAGCCGCGGGTTCCCACGGAGCGAAGGGACCCGGGGGGTGCCCCACGCCGCACCGCCCCCGCCCGCAGCGGCGGAGGGGCGTGAGGAGGGGGGCAAGGAGGGGGGTGCCGGAGGCGGATTAAAAACAATAAGGGCGGCGGTGGGGGTGGGGAGGGGAGGCAGGGGGCGGGAAGGGGCCGGGGAGTGCCGAAGCGGCGCGGCCGGGGCGGCGGAGTTGCAGCCCCGCTCCGCCCGCGCCCTCGCTGCCTTTCGGTCTTCTGTTTATTTCGGTGGGCGCTGCTGAGGCGGCGGCTTTTTATTCCCCCCCTCCCCCTCTTTTTCTTCCCTCCCTCCCCCGTCCTCTCTCCTTCTCCCCGCCCGCACTGGCGGCTCCTCTCCCAACGCCGCCTTCACCCGCCGCCCGGCCGCTCTCCCGGCTCCCGCTCATTGGCCCGAGCCGCCCCGTCCATCCGGGCGTCCCCGGCCACCGGCTAATGGCGGAGCGGCCGCCCCGAGCCCTGCCCGCCCCACCGCCCGCCCCGCGCCCCGCCGTGCCACCGCTGATCGCCCCGCGGCCGCCCGGCCCCCGCACGGCCCCGCACCGCACGGCCCCGCTCGGCGCCGGTGGCCGCCTTCAGCCCCGCACTGCCGGGTGCTTCTCGATTTTTTGGGGGAGTCAACCCCACCCCACCCCCTCCGCCTCCCCCGCGGCGAGGGGAAGGGGTGGCGCGGGGAGAGGCGCGCCGATCTCGGAAAATATCGATGTACGCTTTGGCATGTGATCCTGCCTCGGGAGGCAAACAAACAAAGCGAGGGGCTAAAATATAACCCCTAAAGCCCCTCTGCCCATTTCGGCTAAAGCAGATGAAGCTCGAGATCGATAAAGAGAGCGAGGGGGGAATCAAATAAAAGTCCTGTTAACAGGCGACGGTGGCTGGGACAAAAAAAAATCAAATCAAATAAAAATTAAAATCTAAGAGAAAACGGTCGCCCTGGCTGTTTGGGCTTTGAAACCACTTATGTGGGAGCAGGGAAGTCGATCTGCGATCTGCATGTGTTGTGAATGTGTATCCGAGAGCAGATGCTTTAGGAGTTTTCCTTGTCTTTTCCCTCTCTTGAAAAAGAAACAAAAACAAACCCGAAAAAAAAAATCCCTACCCAAAACCCCACCCTGCCATTGTTATTTGGAAACCGGATTCTTACATGGCAGGAATAAAAAACGTAAAGCCGGCACACACACACACGCACACAGAGAGCAAACAAGTCCCCTTCCCCTCCCCCTCCAGTAAATACACGTCTGGCCCCTGATTCGGTTTGTTTTGTAGTGGCTGAAAAATAATCATCTCGGGGCCAGCAGCTCACCAATAAATAAGGCTTTGTAAAAATCAAAGCCCAGCATAACATTTGCCATCTTAAGCATCCTGCACGAAACCTTGTGTCTTCATACCCATCAGTTCTGTGCTTGGCCGAGCAGCAACCCAAAATATAGGGGTTTATGTGGTTTGGGGGGTCTTTTTGAAATTCTCCCTTCGACATTCCTCATGGCATTAAATCCCACGTCAGACACAGGCAGGGTTAAATCTGGACCCAGAGCGTCCAAGCAGGGATTTTACAAGGATAGATAGAGGGATAGATAGGTAGAGAGGTCGATAGGTAGGTAGGTGGA